ATGTTTTACATACAAGTTAATGAGGAGCAAATGGTACCACCCATAATAGTGTAGCCTATTATTATGAAGCTTTATTCTAATAAAAACTGTCTGGCTCATAGCCAAGTGGTGACGTCTAGAGGGGGAAAGGGTTAATATAAGGCCATGTAAAACAAAATGGTCGGTCATCCTTTTTTCTTCAAACTAAGAAAGTAATCCAGAGACAGGTTTTTTTATATTGTTTTTCATGATTGGAAGACTTTGTTAACCACACTGTCTGTGTTTAGAGTTTAGATTGAGCTGACAGGGCTGGGGAAACTGGCTTGATGGTACTTCTGTGACTTTTTCTTCACTTCTGTCTATTATCAAAGGGTTTTATTTCAACTTTAGGCCAACTCTTTTGTGTTGTTATGCCAACTAAATTCTAAAATAGATTATAGATAGGAAGTTCAGTAGATATATATCATATCTGTCAATTAAATATTGTTTTCTCAAAACACACTACAGTATACCGAGTTGAAAACCAAGGACGTTCAATTGAACAAAATTATGTATGAGCATCAAAACACACAAAAAATACCATTAACCCTGAACTGTTAGCATGAAGTTGTGAAATAACGTATTAAATAATCTAACTTTACTTTAGGAAAAAAGCTAACAAGTACATTGAAATAATGCCTGGAAACATAAATATAAATCCAAAATATAGCATGAAAGAAGATAAATTTGTAAATGAGAAAAAAATCTAGCCAGCCTCTAAGGCAAGTATAATGAAAATCAGAGGAAACTGGATGTCTAGGGATTTAAGTAATTGGCTCTTATATTAATTGACCAGTTAATAGGACAGATTATATTTAGAAGCCCTGACTACTATACTCCAATTGTTTGCACAAGTGTAGTAATAGAGAGGATTTATTTTCATTAGGAAAGTTGATCAGGTATTTCGACTCTTGGGAACAATTGATTTCCCTATAATAAGCTATCCTGGTTTGGAATGATGGATTTGTTGCTTGCTCACAATTTTACAATCTGGCTCCAATTTGAGAGGTACCTACAGAAAGTATGGATTCCATTAAAATGCTCAAACATGAATAGATGATGAATAATGATGAAGTTGAACTGAGATGCATGTTTAAAGTATCTTCTACAGAGCTGAAATAAGGCAAGCCATCTTGTCATCATCATAGCATCCAATTTAAGTTAAATTCTATTATCAAACTTTTCTACTTTGGTTAAGATTTATTTTATGTAGGTTTAATTTGTATTGTTATTTTTATGTAAATAATGCAAGTGCACATTAGTAAAGTTTGCATTTAAGTAAAATTCATTTCACTTAAAAGTGAAATGTATACTACTAATAATCTGAAATGTATCCACTGTGTATGCAATTGCTCTTTGATTTAGAGGGAATGTCTTTAAATGGCATGCCATACTGAAGTTTGTCTCATACTGTGCCCCATATCATCTAAATGATTTTAAATAATTTAAAGTTCAATTATTTCCCTCAATTTGTCATTTTACAACTTATTTTTCTCTTAAGCCTAATTCAATAACAGAAAATATACATACATATTCCCCAGTGTTGGACAGTCATCAATTTTGGAAACCACTTAAAATAACTATGTACAGAGCAATACAGAAGAAAATTGAAATCAGATTTATAATTAATATGTAAAATATTTTGCTAAGGTTTTTATTCACATGGGCCAGGGTTGCCAATTACAATATTAAAACCTGTCTTGTATAATAAGTAGAAATTCCTTACACAAGACAAACATACACATGATACTCTAATTTAACTACGTCTCATCATATACGAGGCTTAAAGAGTAGAGTTGTTTTTGTCATGAGAAAAAAAAATTGTGTATTCTGAAAGGACATGTACCCAGGAACCTGGGATTAGAAGGCAGCATCTTAACCACCAGCTACAACTCTATACAAATGCTGTAACCATGAAAATCTATTCTAGTATTACAAAAAAAATATTTCTAATTGTTATCGTAATTCTATCTGAAAATCACAGCTTTCTAAGTTCTAGTTTACTCCCAGTTAGGTTCATTAGTTCTGCCTTTATTTTAAATTCCTTCACCTGTAAGAGTCTATCAGTAAACTTTATGTTGTAATTGATGGTAGGTGAGTCCATTAGAATCTTGAGGAAAATTACTTTTAGATCTATAAACACAATCTAAAATCTGGATGTAAAGTTATCATACTAGTCTCCAGACTGACTCCAAATTCCATAGATTATGTCCTAAAACCATTGAAATCCCACAAGGGAAAAATTCCTAAATTATATTATTTTGTAACAGAGATCATCAAATTATGTTCATGTGACTTAAATAGAACACAAACACACCTGAGAAAATCAACATTAAAATATCCAACATTAAGATTCTGCTGTGAGGAAATTGGAGCTGTATCAAGTTTTGAGTGTTGAAGTTGGTCGTCGGTGTGAAAGTTTAAGAAGATACTCATCGCTAAAGGCTATACAAGCTTAGATTTAACATATTCACATTATGTTCTTAAAGGCCAGTGACTTGACAAGTTTAAGTAATGGTAAACATATCCATGCCATGACTATGAATAATGAGAAGCGCTGTACAGAATTTCCAACGGACTGTCTTAACTCTTAGCCAGCCTTTTCTCTTATTTTTGTACTGCCTCACTGACTGACCTATTGCTTGCATATGCCGTCTTATAAAACTTAAGTATTATATTAAATTACTTTAAGATGTTATTTTGCCGCAGTAAATTATGACTTGCAAGAATTTACGTTATTTTGTGGGTTCAGTAACTTACCTTGACTACTATCTGTAGAACTGTTTGATCGATAATTAAACCAAGCACAATGGCTCATTTTACTACTATATACTGTTGTCAGCCATATTGTGCTACTTTCTATATTTAAAAGATAACCCATTGAAATATAACCAAGCTATTCAACTCTATTGTGTGTCAAGGAGGAATAGTTATTTATAATTATCTTAAAAATTCTGCATACCATGATTAAAATTAAATAATCAATGACAGGGATTTTTTTGTATCAGGTAATATTTAAAATTATAATTTAATTTATATTATATTTAAAGAATTATATTAATTGATTATTTTTTATTTTAGTTGTTGTTCATACTGTAAGTATTTCTGTATAAATTTATATTTTATATAATCGTTTATATACCAAGTAATTACTTTACATATGGTTAATCAGAACAAACTCTCTCACAAAGTTGGTCATGCCCCTTTAAGATACAGCTCTGCACACACACAATTCAAATTATATCATTATCACTTGGAAATATAAGATGACCAAATGGTGTCAATTTTAGTAGAGGGTGCATTCTGTCATTTTATTCAGGCATGCTCGCCCAATGGGATTTGACACCCTGGAGTGTGAACGTGTCATATCTTAACAAACCTTTGACCTATTAATTAACACCCAGGTGACATTAACTCAGTAGGTTAGGACCATTTAGAATGTGATCCTAAATACATATAGCACTTGATGCTTATCACAGGATAGGAAAATACTAAAGAGAACATTAGGCCTACTATATCTCACCTGTTAAATATATAATTATTAAATTGTAATATCGTCATTGTTTTCTGTCTGTCATTGCCACATTGTTATATTTTAATATTTTGTTTTTCTTAGCTTTGATTTGATTTAAATTAAACAAACAAAATGAAAGTCAATTTAGCCAATATAAGACCTGTAAACAAATTGTTGATTGTTGTTTGTTGACATTGCATAGGTAATATTTTTAAAATCCTGAAATGTCACAGTTTGGGAGAAGTGGCTTTGATATAGCACTGTAGTTTTCACAGAATATATGGCCTACTGTAAACAAATGATAGTCTAAATGGCTTAGGTTTAGTTGAAAGAAATGTCATTGAGATTTGTTAAAACGTTTTCACAACAAAAACAGATTCGGTCAATCATTTTCTTTAGTAGGGAGGGTCAATAATATAAACTTCTAAACTATTTTCCATATCAAAATTCAACATTTATATGAATAAACTAAACTTTGATTCAAATTATCACCTTCGTGTCAAGTTGATTGATTGACAAATGTCATTTAAAGCTTTTCTGCAAATCAAGACCTTTGACTGAGTGTAATACACAAGAACCAACAAAAGATATTGGTTTTACTGAGCTGCTTTGCACTATAGTATGACAGAAGGGAAGTTGTTTTAGGCCTCACTCCCTAGAGTTACTCAAGTAAATATCTCCACAAGATGCCTCGAAGCCCAATGCATATCCCCAACAATAAAGGAGATCGTCCAAAAGTACCTAGGCCCCTAGCCCGATCTGCAGTTTATGGTGGCTTCGGGTGCATGTCTGCTGGATGGTGTTGTACGAAAGGTTAATGCCTCAGATTCCCATGTGGCCCTAGTAGAGGTTAGACCTATTCAGGCCATCTGGCCTAAGGATATTTGAAAACTTTGCTTATACTGAAATACACAAGTTTTGTTTCGGTGGAGACACAGATTTCCATAATATTGCAAAACGTATTATTAGAAAGAAATGTGAAGGAACGTTAACTGATGGATTTCTATTTTATCTGACCCTGTCAACCTGCTAAAATGCCTTCTTTTGTTAAAATCTATATGATTCAAAATCTTCAGCTATCAATCTGTAGTGGGACTATATAAGCCAGAACTGTCTTTCATGAAATTGTTCATTTTAAAAGCAAAATCACTACAGTACTTGTTATTCACATGTAAATATTGACAATTTTGCTTCAATAATGCTTTTCTCCCATTAACTTTGATCCTGTTGTCCTGCCATACAGAAGGTGTCATTGTTGAATGGCATATAAAGCATTTTCTTCAAGTTTTTTTGTAAGTCTGAATTAGTATAGTGCATGATATTTCAAAGAATCTCTTGTAGCATCTACTAACCTAAAATGGAATGAAGTACCTACTGGTTTTAAAGTACTACTTTACCAACAAAAGTGCAACAAAGATGAGGTTTGAGTTGAATAAATCTAATTGAACTACTTCTATTGACTTTTTAGGAGAGGAAGACCACGACAAACAGTGTAAGATTGAGCCTCTCTGCCCTGAGAAGTGTTCCTGTCAATCAGATGTGGTGGATTGCCGGGGGCAGGGCATGACAGAGCTTCCACATGCATTCCCAATAGACATGGTAGAATTGTAAGTTCCCCTTATTTTGTTACCAAACATTTATACTTTATGTACTTTATTTACAAAATAAAACTTCAAAGAAAATAAGAGCTGGTTGCCTAAGGTTATTTTACATCTGTCTATAAATAAAATTTCTAAAACTCTTTAAAAATCAAACATTGACATCGGGCTGATATGGAGACATGAAGCATAGGTTGAGAGCCTCAATGATTAAGCGGGGGGAAAACTTAGATGCAAAAGTTTATATGAGGTATTTTTACTTACCTGAGCCTAATCTTTTTGCTCAACAAATTTCTAGTTAGTAGGTGGGAGGTGAGGGGTGCCTAGGAAATGTGATTGTCCGAGTTTTTTTAGACAGTAGACCTATTTCTTCAAGAGTAAAATGTGCTTTGTGAATTTGTTTGTAACTCATCTTTTGAAATCGTTTTTCTTTATCCACTCTTCTGTTAAACGGAAGTTTGGTACTTGTGGAGGATCCTTGGTAAATTCTGGAGGGAAAATATAAAATGGTGGATTGAAAGTCTTTTATAAGCATACTGTAGTGCATATAAAAACAAACCCTGGCCATTTAGTATCTGTAGTTAAGAACAATCTTGACCCTTTAGAAATAGCCTGGGGGCCGATTCCAGCAGTTGCTAACTGGTTAGGAATGCTCAACCTCTGCAACTGAAACGGAACTTTTTCAGTATAGTAAAAACCTGAAAGTTCGGAAATAAACAAGTGTCCTGTTTTTTAGCAGATGATAGCCCTCCATTTATGTTCAACAGTTTTATATCTTTAAAATAAAAAGCACAGTCAAGATATTTAAAGATGCCATTGGTTTAGGTCAGATAAATAAAGCAAAATGGTTCACAGAACCTTGACCAATAACTTTATTTTGAAGACCTCTAAATTAAATTTTGTCTTACAAATCCCTCCAAGCAAAGAAAAAAGGATTGTCAAGTATGTACAATATTTCACATGTATATACTTAGTTTTTTTTCTGACATGACTTTAGCAGCTCTACCAAGCCATTAACAATTTCCCTGTATCATCATATCCTTTAAATCCAAGTTACTTAGTCCAGGATCCCTTAGCCCCAATCAGAGAGGTTTACCAAACAAGTTTATATCTAGCCCCTTCCTGTTTTCTTCACTGGTTAATTTGAAGAGAATCTATCGTTGAATCGACCCTGTTTTACCCCTTCCCCATCACACATGTCTCAGGGGAACATCATCAGGTTGGCGATGACATACAGAAGTGGCAGAATTGCAGCATCACTTATCGATATTAACTGAGTCATATGTATCAACAACTAGTTGAAAAAACATGAGAACATGAGAAAATTTGCAGTATATTTAGGCTTCTCAGTTATAATAGTATTTGATTTAATGAACTTCTTTTTGTTCCTATATGATTGTGAATAGGTCTGTATTTCCATGATTTGGTTTTATAAATAGAAATTCAGATTAAATATATTTATAGCAATTACCTGGATTGAAGGAAGCACAGCAAACTCACAGTAAATGAGTATCCATAATAAGATTTGTATTTATCTATTGGATTAATTGAATTAGGTTAAGCAAACAATCAATTAGGTAATTAACCTTCATACGAATGTACTAATGAATAAATGGCAAATCAATAGATTCAGAATGAATACAAACAGATCAAAGGAAGAACTATGATTGAATGCGTTAATGAATTAATCAAGTAGATCTTTTTATTTCCTTAGTCAGGTAATCCCCAAATACTGACATTAAGCTGTTAATAAATTGAGCATTGATCTGAAAACAGTATTATGACCTACACATTACCAAATTAACAACTGTTATTGGAACAGCAAAGTAGCCGACAACAAAAAAGGAAGATTTCTATTAATCAATAATTTAATTAGTAATTAGTTAAATCATTTTAGTTGCAGAGTCAGATATCCTTGACTGCTAACATTAAGATTAAATGTATAGGTCCTTGCTTGGTCGGTGACTATAGTAAATGAACACGTAAGTGTATTTTGCAGTAAAGTAAGAATAATGATGTATTTTGGTGCAAGTACACTTATTGGAACAGCACAAGCAACAATAAGAAAGATATATTTCTATTAATCACTAATTTAATTAGTAATTAGTTAAATCATTTTAGTTGCAGAGTCAAATCCTTGACTGCAATATCCTATAAAATAAAGAACAATGCATGTAGGTGTAAGTACACTTATTGTAACAGAAAATTCATAGACAAGAAAGTAAAAATTGCTTTATTTTTAAAAAAGTATTGTTCATAGTATGCTAATTATTCTTCCTGTGAGTCACTTGGCTATTCTTATGGAGTAACTTTACCGGATTTGGCTCTGCCTGTCGATGAATACCAGTTACATCTATTGTCAAATAAGCTCCTGGTTGCAATTTATTTCTGCCATAAGCACTTAACTTGAAAAATAAACCCCAAAATCTCTCAATAGTAGCTAGGAGTCCTGTGGAAACCTCATGACAGATGCTTGAAGGTCTAGAGATCCATGCTAGAATATTCTGATGGTCAAGAATACAATTCGATTTTGTAGAACATGAACTATGAAAAGACATTTTTCAACATGTTTTTGTTCACCCTAGAGTCATTCCAACGGAAATAAGACCACATCACCAATCCCAAGAGTTAAATTGCAGGAAATATATTTTAAAAATGTTAAAAGCCACATTTATTCCAGGTGATTTTAAATCTACTTTTATATAATAATGCTGAATTTGTTTCTAAAATACCTAGTGCTTGTCTTGATATAAGAACTAACATTTCTATAAATTTAGTAATTTTATTTTTAGTGTGACGTACAATGCTACATAATATAGAATGTGTAGTGTAAGTTTGCTTCAAAAGTTTTCATTATGTAACGCTTAGGGAGTTGGTTTAGTTTTGAGAGAAAAATCAGACTATTTATAATTTATATAATAATAACAACATCAGAGGTCTTAAAGTGGAAGAAATCACTTTCAGGAGATCTAGTTAAATGAGCTTTCTTAACGCATTTTAATTTTATTGTGCAGCTCATGGTGATATTTATCGGCATGTAACTTCCATGAGAAAATTGATAATAAAGTTGAAAAAAACAAGTAAATATTATATGAATTTCCTTGAAATGGGTTATTTTCTGGGCAAATCTTGCTTACTTGCGGAAGTGTGGGAACCATCCCGATTTTCGGGTGAGTCCTGCGACTTGCGGGAGAATAGGAATCTCTCCGCATGAATTAGACTTGGATTCTGGGATTAGAAGGCATCTAATCATCAAACTACAGCTCCAGTTCATTTCTTAAATGTTATCCTATAGGGTTTTTGCTATGATTCATTTATTAAGAAGTAAATGTGTTGCATGCTGTTGCTTTTTTGCCAATTATGATTATCAAGCTGGGATTTTAATGGTGTTTAGTACTAATTTCCATCGTGAATCATTCTGAGTAACCAGTCAAAAATACATGCACACCTATTGTATTAATAGAAAAAGATGCCATCAGTCAATGTTCAATTATCATTTTAATGTGGATTTTTATACCTTCATTTCATATTGGAAAAGAAGAACCTGTAGCTTGTAGACAGAAGAGGTATGAGGTTAATGGCCTTTATTTTAATGTCATTATTATGATTGAAAATGTGAGGAATGAATATTTAAGTTTTTGAGGTCATAAAGGCGAGACTGATTAATTCTGTTCATCTTGAGACGATTCAAATATTTGCTATCTTCTTATCATCTATACTCCCTCAATACTTGTGTTTTCAAGAATCACAACTCCCTGTACTATATAGGGCTATTGCTGAAAAAAAAAAAGAAAAAAAAAAAGTTACATTTGTAGTACCTTAAATGCAACAATACTTCCATACAGATTACATGAAATTGTTTTCTAAAATTAATAAATGAGTTTCTGACATTTACAACAGCTTGTTTTTATTGGGATAAACAGTCCCCTTGACCGGATCCCCCTGAAGTTGCATTATCAACTGTTGTTTTAGATGTAGCAAGGAATCTAAGTAAAGTGATGAAGTACATTGATAGAAAAATATCAGATTGTTGCAAGAGATAATTCTTGAGACGTGTCTCTCAGTGATCTCAGACGCGGAGACACTTGGACCCCATCGCTTATTGAACATGCGGAAACAGGAACCTGAATAAATATTTCAGTTCACCCCCTACTGAATAAGAGCAATTGGGGGGTCAGAGGGCATCTTCCTCTAACTCTATTTTAGATCTATTGAAAGATTATGCAGCTTTCTTCCCAACATCCGAGTACTAGGTAATATTTTTTTAGGTGGCAGGAGTATATGAACGTTTATCAGTTTACCACTTCGCCCTTGAAAAACGGAAATTATTATAACCTAAATTCTTTCCATTTAAGAATGATGTTTTGAATTTTCATACTCAATCCTATTAAAAAAACATCCTCAACTTTATCCTGTGATTGGATAGGATGCGATATGATGTAGCATAAGGCTCGTACATGTACGGTTGGATATCCATTTTTGTACTCTGTAGTTTTTTTTCGTGTATCAGCTGGTTGTACAAAGATGACGTCACTTGCCAAGAATGACAAATATGGCAAAAAATTGTGGGCAGAGCATAGCTAATATACAAAATTACAATTTATTAATACAGTTAAAGTTGCCTAAGTCGACTGTGCCTAAGTCAAATAATTTCTAAGTGCCAAATTGTTGTGTTTTCTACTAATTAACAATCTGTAAGTCAAATTTTATCTAAGTCGAACAATATTTCAATGGTACTTTGGATTCGACTTAGGCAAGTTCAACTGTATTTGCGGTAAAGGTAAAAAAATAAAAACACCCAGACTTGATTTATTCATTTCAACATACATATTTATCTTAGAAACTCTTTAAAGTTGTAATATATCTAGAAATGAACTCTAATGATTAAAAGTTACTACAGTATGTATGAATTCTTAACAATAAATATCTAAATATTGTCATCACCATCAATGCTGCTTGTGACATATTGCATTCAACAAGACTCCTCCAGTCAGAGTGATTGTTAGCCAGTAATGTATGTGCATAGTACGGGGCACAGTGTCCCAAACGGCGCCCCATACGTACGGGGCGCAGACCTATTTATTTTTCTTTCAGTGTCTAAATATTGTAGTCAGGTAAAACCTGGAAACTCACAATTTCATTAAAAACACAATTGCCTGTTTAAAAGATTAAAAATAGTTGCTAACGAGAGACTGACCAAAATAACTTAGTTTTCAGTTGTTAAATTGAATGTGACACCAAGTCAATTTATGAATTTTGTGCAAAATAATATACTAATGGTGTTATTCATGCATGACGGGGAGGATATTTTGGCGTTCTAATTTTCTATAAAAAGTAATTCAAATATAGTTCAATTTTATATAGATCAAAACAGACAATCGTTAAACAATAGGTTCCCATAGTGTTTGTATGACAGTTTCTTTGATGACAGCTTGTAGTTTGGGATATCCATAATGTCTCATCGAATTATGGTGTGAACATACTTTAAGCAAAGACTGCATCATTTAATTAACAAGTACAATAAGTTTTGGAAATCATATTGGTTTAATCTGTCTGACTACACTGAGCAATTTAATCGCCAATATTTATATGAAAATTAATGAATGTAAGATCTGCGTCTTTTGATCGTGACTGACCTTAAAGTACCACTCCTTCTGGCTAACATCTGACCCTTTCAGTTCTTATTTACTAGGTAATCTAGTCTGGGTTTGGTCTGTGTATTAATTGGTTTAAATTTGGCCTAATTCAGAGACAACACTTACTAAATGCTGAATGCTAACTGATACCTGTCACCTAAACAAGAGAGTCAACTTTGAAAATTTCATTATGGAAGATTTATTTCAGATTATTTGTTCTGCTGTTAAAATTCCTGCTTAGTGATAGTTGTGTCTTTTAACACCAGGTTGTTTCCCTATCAGGTTTACAAATCAGACATTGTCCTAAAAAATAATTGTGTCTATGAACGTGTTAAGTCAGCAAAAAATCTCAAAGCGGCCTAACTATAACCCTCTTGGGATTATAAAATTTACCAACAATCCTTGTATTTCTCTCATCAAGTTATTATGCTTTTGATTTAAATCGCATTTGTCATCGGTCGGTTTCAATGATGTATTAGTCTTGTAAATCCAGAACACAACTACATTATCTTTGCAGGGTTTCATTGTAAATCAAATCTAAAAAGCAGGTGATTTTTCATACAATTAAAAAACATGTCAAATGTTTTCATATTTTTAGGCTGTCAAAAGTCATGTGGTGTTCTTTATCAAGTTGATCATTCATTTTTTAAAATCTTGATTTGTGTTTGAGGCATTGTACTTTAAAATAATAACATTATGGAACTAGGTGGTCTGTGATAGAGAGGAAAAACATAGATTAAACATTCTGACATATTCCTGCAGTGTTAACGTCCTGAGACCAAGCATCATTTTCCAGAAAAATGATTTATATTTTTAGAAAATATTTAGCGTAAATTTCCAAAATTTGGTACCAAAAATTGTTGGTAGGCTTACACATTGTAATACTTTATTAGTTCCCATGCTTATTACGCATTATAATATTTTGTACAGTCTTGTCTGTTTAACTATTGGTTTAAAGTTAATTTTGGAAATGTTAATATGACTTACATTATTAGATTAATTTATTTTGAACTTTATATTACTAATATTTCTATTCAAGATTAAACTACTTCATTGATACATTTTGATCTACCCGATGTGTTGGTAATTCAGTTATGCCTACATTTTATATATGAACTTGTCATCATAAATTTATGTATAAAATTCACTTGTGTTTTATTTAATTAAATTTATTTATAAAGTACTGTATATGGCCTATAAAATCTTATTAATTTACTTAATTTCATATATTTTTCTATGCCTGCCCTTTCCCTGTACCTTGATTTACTGCATGATGTTTCCCTACATGGTCATATTAGAATCTACATTTTTCATTGAAGGTGGCCCTAAAATTTGTATTCAGGAGGGAAATGAAAACTAAATCTGGGCCCTTCGCCCTGTCATTGCTTCTCTATAGAAATTAAACATAAATTCCAAGCAAATTGAAATAAAATGCAAGACCAGTATTGAATTGTAGTTTTGATAATTGCGAACCATAGTTCCAAATTACTAGTACGGATGTTATATTGTTTGTCTAAATTCTCCAAAAATAGTGCGCAAGTCACGGATGAAGACACAAGACAGGTTTTAAGTTTCTGTAAAAGCAAGAAACAGGTGCTGCCACTTGGGTCCAGAAAGTTCAGTTTGTATTTCACCGAAAATAGAGTTTCCATTCTACCTGTCCTAACTAAATCTACCACAAACTTCCAGATAGTGGTGAACTAATCCCCAAGGAGTGAGGTTAAAAGCATGTCCTCTTCTTGTAGCAAAATTGGAAATAGCATTTCCTACTCCTCTTAAGAAACCACCCATGATGCACTGACCACTTGCAAAGATTGCCATGTCTAGTTGTGCATTTTGATATTTTTTATGTATTTTTTGTAGCCCTACAGTATATCGTGATTATTTATTATATGTAGAGAGTGTAAAAAAGATTAAAACATATGTAAATTTGATATTTTGTTATAAGACTAATGCCTACTATTTTTGTTTAGAAGCATGAGTATTTTTATTATTAAGCCCAGGCATACAACACATAAATAACACAATAAAATTGCTTGTGGATTATAATAAAGGCACAATTGAATTCAGTAATAATATATATTTTTTATTTTTGGTTGAACATTTTACTTTTACACATGTTGCAGGGGTTGGATTTTAATAGGCCTGTTCCGACCTTTCCTGGCTTGATTTTTCTTTATATTTGTAGTTTTTACTGTTTTAAGCTGGCCACAGAATCAAGAATGAAGTAATTGAAATTCATTGACACTCTAGTCAGGGTGGTCTAAACTAATGCTATAGAAACTTCATATCTCCTGTTAGTGTACCCTCAAGAAATGATACAGTACCTGTAAATATTCATGAAACAGATGATGTCAGTTTAGTATAATTTACCACAATCAAGCTCCCCCTGGTCATTCCTATCTTCATTGAAAACCATCATGTACAGGACATATCAGGTCTCTGCAATGATCTGGTCGGCTTCTTGGTACTGAGAAGCCCATCTGATTGAATTCTGATGTTGTGGTTTGACTTCTTTAACCTCATTGGCATCTGAGCCTTTGAATGGGGTTGCATTCTTTGCCTTGTACTTGTTAATAGGGTGAAAGTTCAGACTAGTAATGCAATTTATAATGTTCAAGCTAGACGCTTTACCACGATTTGATAACATTGAACAATATGGGTTCTTAACATTGTATTGTTAACTATACTTACTTTTCTACAGATAGAAAATAAACTTTTATTATACAGTACTGTAGTAAAATAATATAGCTCCATATATTTGGTTTGTGTACTAGCAGTAGAATGTCATAAAGGAGCTATGTTTTTTTGGAATGTATAGAAGTGTAAGAACATACAATAGTTGAAGACATTTTTAACTACTTTTTTATGTTTGATATTTTGTGTAAAATTTAATAACATAAAATATGAACGTTTTAATTCTTAACTATGAATAGCACGTACAATAAATGTCCATCTATCTGATGACCGCCATAGGGCACAAACAACCGAGAAACCATTGTTGAATATATAATATACACCACTCTACTGTTGTTGACCACTATATCAGCTATATACTGATACACCATAATTTCATTTATATACATATAATATATATGTAATTATATATAATATGAATATTAACAGGAGATACTGTGAACATTTTCCTCAAAATTAAAACAACATGGAACAAGTACGTCATAGACCTTTGTCAAGTTAACAATATATTCAAATAAGGTGACAAATAAAAAAACGACCAGGGAATTGAAATAAGATATTTAAAAAAAACGACAGATGAATAATAGATAATCATAAATGTATATATGCCTGCATATATGGCATCAGTATACATGTCAAAATTACTTTTATTTGTGATATGTTATGATCGAAGCACCAGGTTGTTGAACTAGCATAGATTCTCATACTATTCCCTCTCTAATTGCCATTTCTTTATTGATTTTGTTTATTTGAAAATCTCGCATTTCAAGTATTTGGCTGTAATGTTTATTCTTTCAGGCGATTGGAACAAAACCAGATTACAAGCATACCACCACGAGCATTCTCACCTTACACAAAACTAGGAAGAATGTAAGTGTTTTCAAATGCTTTATGAAATGTAATTGAATTTTGTTGATTATTAACTTAAAAAGAGAGGTAGAAACAATGTCATGTTATTTTCAGAATGATTGATATTAATATATTCATTTTTTTTTTCAGTGACTTGAGTAGTAATAAAATTGAAGAAATTTCACCTGATGCCTTTAGTGGATTGAGGCTACTTAACTCGCTGTAAGTTTTACTTTATTGCAAAATTGGAAGTAACGTATATACTAAACAGATGAAATGCCTGATAAAGAAATTATTGAAATTAATAAAAAGGAAAGAAGATTATTATTGAGGCTACTTAACTCAGTTTTGTTTATTCTAAATGCAAGATGTGAAGTAATAAATATATGTCTTCTATAGTAAACAAAGATAAAGAAACAACCTGGTAAGAACTCTGCTCTACAGTCTCTACAGTGTTTAAAAAAAATTGATTAATGTGAGCTCACAAAAATGGACCTTTCCGGTGTATGTCAATCAAACTTAACTGTCCAATCAGAACAGTGCGAGGAATATGTTTTCACACTGTTGGTTTGTGAGACCTTAGTATCCAAGGGGCAGTGCTAGTGGAAAGGTCCGTAGACTACAGACACTACCGCCAGTATTCTTAAAACTAACTTTAGTCGAACTTTGAACTAGAACTTCATTTAGTCCTAGTTGCAACTTAAACTTTAATTTGTATTCATAAACAACGTAATCAAAGTTCTAACTATGACTAAATCAAGTCCTAGTTTTAGTCCAGCTAAAGACGGCTGGTAAGCAACGACTATCAAACTAACCAATGAAAAGAGCTCATTTTAATAGCAGACAAAATTTTAGAGATCAAGTAACGCGGCTGAATATTAAGTTGCCGCCTACCGTACAAAAACTTATTTCCTTATAATTTATAATAGATAATCATTTGCTTAATTAATTTTCTATAATAATAACTATATTAGCCGTTAACATATAACGATAGATAATTTGAACAGTCACTGGAAATTTGCTTTTTTTGGAGAAGTATTACAGTTTAGCCCGGGTCATTGTTAGGCTACATGACCACAACATGAGGGGATTTTGTGCAAATCAGGAACTATCGCAGTGGCTAACAAAACATGTTAATTTCTCCTTTTGAAAGCTAAACTTGATGTCTCTTGTTTAACGCATGGAAGATATATCAGACCTGCGTATACAATTGTTTTTACTCGTTTCACTTTATCGTGAGTTACAAAAAGCATGTTTTTAGTAAGGTGAATATTTCAAGTCGGTGATTTAGCCTGACCAAAAATATCGGCCTGCGGAGTTGGGATTTTAGTCGAGGTTCGTGGGATTTAGACTAGGACTAAAGTTTGTTTTAAGAATCATATCATGTTATTTTTTTCATTCTTCAGGGTATTGTATGGCAACCAACTGACAGAGCTCCCAGAAAACATATTCCAGGGTTTAAGCCATCTTCAGCTTCTGTTGCTAAATGCCAACAGAATCTCTTGCATCCGTACCAATCTCTTCCGTGACCTGTGGAATCTTAAACTTTTGTAAGATCATTCAAGTTCCACTAGAGTGGATGATAACTTATCTGAATTTGTTTAAATTTAGTATAATGTTTACCATTCTGTTTTCTCTGATTTACGTTTTTACTACAAGCCTTCAGTACAGTAATTACCTATAAATGCGAAGTTTTATGAAAAGCAATATTTAAGAATGTTTTTATATGCATCCTTGAATTGTGAGGAAAATATCTCATTCAGATTTTCTATTGAAAGTAAGCAATTTAATTTCTAAATTTCATTTTGTCAGGTTTATCAGCTAACAAATACAGCCAAGTTTTAAATTCAAATGTACTTTTTGTTTCTCTTATTTAGGTCACTTTATGATAACAACCTCAAGTCAATCACAAATGGAACATTTACTCCACTCAAGAACATTCAGACTTTGTAAGTAAAGTTGCCTGTGATCAATTCCTCATTTATTCTCGTCCACTTGTTTTTACGTTACTATTTTCAGCAGTGAATATAATTTGAGAGCTTCTATAAGGGTAAGTGATTCTGTCAAACCAATGATGGAGCCAACCGCAAAATCTGTGAGCCTAGTGTTTCTTATTAGTCATTTTTAGACAAAGTCCTATAGAGCCGTAATTGATAGGCTATAGCTTTACGAATGCTACCTACAAGGTACATTAAGTATAGGACACCAAAGATTCCGTATAGACTCAGTGTAATATTCAGACTCCGAATTGATGATATTCTGACAGCCATTAATCATTTGTTTTTAATTAAAAGTCAATTTGAGAAATTCTCTTCTAGGCAATGCGCAATATTGCATCGAAAACCAATTGTTATAGTCGACCTCTAATGTGTTTTCCAAGTGACGTCTTTTATGTCTGTCAACAAAACATATGATTATCTCCCTTTCAAATATAGTAATTAAAAACTTAAGGAAGGAAGTTGTCAAGAGGTAGCAGCAATATGCATATTAAAGGGTGCATTAGTTAAGAAGTTGGCGTAAGTGTTAACAAGGGGAGCGCAGGTTGCGGGTAAAGGGATATAGTAAGAGATTAGACGGTTTAAGGAGTAATGGTAGCTGAAGCGGGGCACTCACTGCGCCCCGACAGTCGTCGGCCGACACGATTCTATAGAGAATGCAATGCCACGACGTGCATGCAACAAATCTTTTCTGATAACAATCCGTTCAGACTGCCATCGATAATCAGCAAATGGCGTCATCTAGCGCTATTAGGAGGGGATTTGGATTCGTCGTACGACTCTGTGAATTATGGTATTAACACTAGTAGTAGTAAGGTGAAGTTGTACATATAAGAAATGTTGTTAAACATATTTATTTTTTAATGATTAGTTATATTCCCTTGAAGCCGGTTTTACACTAAGCAAATTTATTTGTGCAAATCGAAAGCATCGGTTCATACACATGCGCATTCACATTTCTATCAGAGTTTTTCGCATTAGCAAAATCAAGCTGTTTCAACTTTTTGCGAAGTGAAAAAATGCGCAAAAAAAATCAGAGCTCAGGAAGCGAACCGACTTTTAATTCGCGCAAATAAATTCGCCTAGTGTAAGACCGACTTAAGGCCAACATCTCCCATGTTTAAAAGAAAAGTGATGATGGTGATTTATTATGAAAAGCTTGTTGGTTTAATGTTTATCCCAGTGATTGGTCTCTAATGCAAAATTCAATAAACATCACTCACACAATTTACATAGCAGGATTCTTGAACCTTGGGCGTTTGATTTTTGTGTTTATTTAAATTTGTCCGTAAGGAGGAAACTAGATCCCTACTTAAGAGAAAATAGTTTCTATACTCTTATGCAGGCATCAAACAACCCATAACTCAATTTTAATCGGGACATTTTTATTTTCTGATTGGTGCTGGGGTCGTGAAAGGATTTTGGAATGTTCCCATTAAGTAAATGGTTCCCAAATACTCTCAGTGGTGGGTCAACAAGGGTCAGCTTGTTCATGGATCACTTGATTTCAAGTATTTTTTTGGAGGAAGCCAATAATAAGAATTAACAAATAAATGAATCTTTTGGGTCTATTTCCCCCTCCGTAAATCCTTATTATCTGCCGATTTTTCTATTCATCCTGATAAATCTGTTCTCAAATTATAGGACAGTATCTAATTATCCTGAACAGTCTATGTACACTCAGTGTTATATGAATATTCATGTATAGTATCCACCATAAAATTGGTAATACTTTTCTGCAAACATTTCCTTGGTCATGTGCCACATTCAAAGAAGTCTGTCTCCAACTCGCAAATTTGCCAATCGAGTGTGACAACCCGATATGCTTGGCAATTATTTTTTTGTATTTTTTCCCCAGCCAACAGCAAGTACACTGACCATTTACAATAACTAAGGCTGTGTTCACACTATTAATTATAATGTGACAATTACCTGTGATTTGCTCATATATGGATGTGATATATTTCATGCACATGAATGGGAAAATCAGAGGTATTTGTCACAGAAAGCTTGATAATGTGGACAGGTTGTTAAGTCCTGTCCAGACTATCAAATTTTATTTGACAAAAACATGTGACATGCCTAAATATGTTCATGATGACATCACATCATGACCATATATGGGCAAATCATGACTATATATGGGCATACAACAGTTTTTTGTCAAAGAATATTAATTAGTGTAGACAGAGTTTAAGAAAAATTTTACAGGATTTGAACCCAGGATCTTGACATTATATGGCAAGCTCCACTTCTTTTAGACAACACTGTGCTTGCGTGACTTGAAGAACTTATGATAATGTCGAGTGGATGGTGATCAAGGTTAGTTTGTTGATGAGAACTAATCGTAAGTCGTGAATCAAAGCACACGCAGAGCAACTTGTTAGTAAGAACTAAACTTTGGAGGTTCTCCTCAATCAGTTTGTTATCTTTGAGACTAAACACACAATGTAGATTCTTGCTGAAAGTTTTATATGGATGGGAAGACTATCAACAGGTTTAGTATGAATACTGTACTTCAATAGTAGGCCTACTGCTAGATTAGGAAAGAAACAAGAAGGTCCAAATAAAGATATTATCACCCAGCCATTGTAATATAAATAATTTTCTGTATCCCACATAACTTAGGGAGTGTCCAGAAATGTGCTGGTGATGGTGACCCCTTAGACAATTTGCATTTTGTCATCAATTTCAAACATTTTTTAATTTGTTTTATATGAACCGAATAGAAGCTTACAGCATTAAGCGCTATATAAGTGGAACTGTATAATTGTTATAACACGCAATTCTGGATTTTATCATTAAGGCTTAGATTTTTCTTCACAAAACTGTATGAGCAAATACCTTTTTAGGAGATTAATCTGTCATTTAGTTATTCTTTAGATTTTGTGAATGTCTTTATCTTTTTTTGTCAATTTAATGCCTATTCAATGCTTCTTTCTATGGACTCTATTATGTATCGCTGGTCTTACAGCAGATATTTGCCAATAGTTTCCCCCATGTTGGATTACTTTTTGTTATTCAATTCAATATAAAGTTTATTTCCACATCATCAATACAAAAAACATGTTGGTCTGGATATAATGACAGTGTAACATATCCAGCCTTGGTTGCATATCATTATTGAAAAAGCGATCAGCCGCCTTGATTATTATTAGTATAGAATGTAAATATGCTCCTCCAAAGCCTGCATTTTATTTGACGAGACTGCTAATCAGCGTGTGTCAAGAATAGATCAGTGTAAACAATCCAAACCAAACATGACTAATTATGAAGCCAAGTGTAACTGAATGCGAGAACAAGAGACATCTCGCTTGATAGAAATCAAATTAAGCACATTATGTATGCTCAGTAAAGAAGGTCCAAGATTTTATGAATTGAAGTCTCGTCTGGGTTTATTTTGCACAGAATTCAGTACTTTGTAGAACGCTATTTGGTTAGGATCGGGTTATTTTCTGAATTGTAATTTAGCAGTTAGCGTGTTATGATAGCAATTCAGCCTTCACCTTCTACATACAATCATACAGGAATCTATTGTGGTGTATTGCTGTATTTGAGGTGGAGTTAATAGCACCATGTGTGATACCACATCCTATCTGTTTTAGACTTTGAGGCCCATCATATGTGCATTTCCATTGGATTAGATTTCTTCGGTGTGATATAAACCAAGGATAACCGGCAAAAGTCCCCAGACATGTGGATATGTGGTGCCAGACTTCCCAATCCCAGGGTCCTATGTTTAATCAGTCTACATGCTCCGTTTACTTTTAGGCTTTGTAGCTCTGTTTATGATTCTTCCATCTCCTTCTATCAGCTGCTACTTTTTTACCAATGTCATGTTGTCATGTCAACTTTCCACCTTTTTAGTTGATTTGATATTTTCCTTTATTCTGGATAACTCATTCTATACATATGTACTGGCCTCTCATGAGGTCTAGTTTTGAAACTTTCATACAGAAATATATAATTAAAACAAAGACCAAGAAAATAAACAGAAATTAGGTGAAAATAATATGATTCTTAAAAAGGCCTACATTCATTGATTTAAAATTCTGACATACATCTACTTCCAGTTTTTGGTTGCCATCCCAGAGGTGGATTCAATTTTTGAAAAATAAAAATAATGGTGAGAAATGGAAAAATGTTGTCAAATATAAGTCTGAGAGTGCAATTTCCACCCTTCTTTCTAGAGGTGCCATAGCCATAATTGTTTTTTTGTTTTTAGCCCTCAACCATGGTTGGATTGATGTGGTTTGGACCCTCCATCTATAACAGTCTCTCCCTGGGTTCATCCTTCCATTGCTCTTCATAACTTTTCCATCAATTTTATTATTTATTTGTGTTGTCTGCTCATTACCATTTACATTATACATGAAAACTATTTAATTAATCACTGCTATGTTTAATTATCATAAAATTTGGCCTACATGAGATTCTGCTTTTGATAAGCTTGTTCAGATGTTTATCACGTCATCAGGTTTTGTCATTTGTTTAAAATAATATTTATATAAATATTTTTAAAAGGATGCAAGAGTATTTGATTGAAACTATGTAAATGAATGATGGAAGCAATTTAATTTGAAGGAACATGAATATTTTGAAACTGAGTAAATCAATTGACACAGGATAACAAATGCATTGTTGTTGATAGGTTTCTTTTGTGGGAAAATGGGTCATAATACTATAGGCTGGTCATTAGTAGAGCACAGGAGCTAATTGGTGGATACACTTACCTCCTTATCTGTCATCACCTTACTAGTTGATGGTCAAGAGACATACTAGGACCAATGACCACAATTACAATGCATAAAATATGTTTTTGAACTGAAATACTAACAATGATTTATAGTTATTAATTATTTATTATTTATTGATAAATTATGTTTTCTTTGTTTAAAGGTTATTAATTGTTAATTACTTGTTTGATTAGTTATTCGATAAGTTAGTATTTT